AGAATAGAATAGAATAGAATAGGATGGGCTGAGATGGGACGGGACGGAACGGAATGGAACTGAACTGAACAGAACAGAACAGAACAAAACAGAATAGAATTCTTTATTGGCCAAGTGTGATTTGACACACAAGGAATTTGTTTCCGGTGTGTAAGCTCTCAATATAAATACAACAATAGTGATAAGCAACAAAGTTTTAGTATATACACACTAAAACAGCCATAATGACTGTATTTGTAGGACTGTGTCTACAAATCCTTACAGATGTCTCTTAATGTTCAATAGTACATACAAAGTACTATTGTTCAAAGCATTAAATCAGCTACATATATTTCCAGGCTTGTGAAGCTACGTCATAAGTTATCCACAGCTGTCTCTGCACACATGGGCATACATGGTAAAGACTATGTGGGACTTGCCTATAGAGTGCAATTTAGACTCAAAGAGGAGGAGATTTAGAACATGTATGGCATATATGTGTGACCTGCCAGCTTCTCTTTGCATCAAAGAGGTCTTTTTCTGTTAGGGTACAGTGGCAGCCACATGGTATAAAGGAGACCAGACATAACCTTGAAGGAAGAATACAGCATTGGTTGCATCAATATCATTTAGACCTAACAAAGAAGACAGGTGGAGGAAGAAACTCAAGATTGCCTTCCCTTAATTCTATTTGGCATAAGAGGGACAAGCAAGAATGCCAGGCTTTTAAGATTCTGTTATTATACCTGCAATAATAAGATGGAGTTCCAGTAGTCCTTGTGGATTCTGTTTCCTGGCAGACTAGGCTACTTACAAGGAACAAACAGGGTTACAAGGAACAGAGGGTTCTTTAGCAAGTTGTTGAGCAAGTGTGGCTACTTGCACTTTGTTCTTACAAACCGGTTCACTGCATAGCCCTGGTACAAGCTCTGGCAAGTCTTTTGCACCTCAATTTCCTATTTATTCTCTTCTAGACAAGACAAGTGTGATTCTACCTTCAAGAAAACTATACACGGTGACTCTCCCTCCTGAAGGTTATGAACCAGTTGCTACTAATGAAAATGGTAAAGGATCTTCTGAAAGTGGTGCTGAGGACAGTAATACTGGTGTTCCAGGTAAGAGAAAATGCTTCATCTTTCTCTAAAACAGCCAGTGCTTAAAGGTATAAGCTACAGGTAAATGGAAAGTTGCATCAGTTTATTGGCATGTAAAACCATGTATGAAATAAAATGCGTCTGCTAGGATATACAATTGTATAAAGAGAAACTCATCCTAAAATCAGTGCAGAATCCAGATTGAAACATCCCAAGCAGATGCTCAGCTCTCTAATTCTTTCAATGATGAAATGCCATTCATGTATGTTAACTTTGTACTTGCAGAAAGTTTGTTACAATGCTTTAATAGTAATCAGAATAGAAGGGACCTTGGAGGTCTTCTAGTCCAACCCCCTGCTCAAGGAGATCCTCTACCATTCCAGACAAGTGGCTGTCCAGTCTCTTCCTAAAAACCTCCAGTGATGAAGCACCTACAACTTCTGAAGACAAGCTGTTCCACTGGTTAATTGTTCTCACTGAAGTTTCTCCTTAATTCCAGGCTGCCTTTCTCCTTGATTAGTTTCCATCCATTGCCTTCTGGTATTTTGGAAAAAAAGCTGACCCCCTCGTCTTTGGGTAGTCCCCCAAATAGTGGAATATTGCTATCATGTCACCCCCTAGTACTTCTTTTCTCTAGACTAGCCATACCCAGTTCCTGCAACCGTTCTTCATATATTTTAGTCTCCAAGTCTTTAATCAGAGGTGGTATTCAGCAGGTTCTGACCAGTTCTGGATAACCGGTAGCGGAAATTTTGAGTAGTTCGGAGAACTGGCAAATATCACCTCTAACTGCCCCTGCCTCCATCTATTTTCTGCCTCCCGAGTCCCAGCTGATCAGCTGGGTCTTCTTTAGTTGCCCTGCACAGGAGAACGGAGCTGGAAAGCAGGTTAGTGTGGTGGGGAGGGAATGGGATTTTACAGTATCCTTCCCCTGCCATGCCCATAAGTCACGCCCATGAAGCCACGCCCACAGAACCGATAGTAAAAAAAAAAAAATTGAATCCCACCACCGTCTTTAATCATTGTAGTTGCTCTTATCTGCACTTTTTCTACACTCTTAACATCTTTTTTGTAATGTGGTGACCAAAACTGGATGCAATATTCCAGGTGTGGTTTCACTGAGGTTTTATAAAGTGTTTTATAAAGTGTTTCCCTAAAAATAGGACCCTATGTTATATTTGTTTGCCACCAAAAAAAGGTACCTGTTCTTATTTTCAGGGGATGTCATCCACTGATAAACTCACTTGTGTGTGTCACCCCGGCCTCCTTTTCACTGTCAGAGGCCTTCAAGAATGTCTTCTACGGCCAGCAAGGCTTTCCTGAAGGCCTCTGCAGCAGATAACAAAGCTATAGATCAATCCAGAGCTTTGTTATCAGCTACAGAGGCCTTCAGGAAAGCCTTGCCAGTCTTGCCGGCTGCAGAAGAAATGGGCCGGCAAGGCAGGTGTCGGGGTATGCGAAGCCTGGCTATAACTGTCCAAAGGTAAGTAGTAGGGCAGCTCCACCCCCATCCCCACACAAGCTTAATTTTTACCCATCTACTCTAGAGTGGGCGGGATCTTAATTTGGGCTTATTTTGGGAGTAGGTTTTATATTGGGCGCACATGTAAAAATCAAGCCAGGACTTACTTTCAGGGTAGGTCATATTTTTGGGGAAACAGGGTAATACTTCATTGATTTTGATTCTATACTTCTGGGTATACAGCCAAGGATTTTATTCACTTTCTTGGCTGCTGCCACACACTGCTGGCTCATATTTATTTCATATTTATTAAGTGACAAATAGTGAGTCGGCGGACTACAGTACAAATTAAGCAGTTCTGTTTGGGAGTCTGTGTTAGAAAGTCCAATTGTACAAGGTTCTTGTGTTTCTTGAATTTTGTTATAGTCAGGTATTTTGTATATGCTTGGGTTATACTGTATTTCTGAATGTCCAAATGAATTTTATTCTTGATACAGGGTTAGTTCAATACAAAAAATATATTTATAATGACATTAATGTAAGTTTATTCTCCGCATTCTTTGGGTACTATTATCAGCTTAATTAAGCGTTTACTGGGCTTACATTTAGTTGAATTTTGATTTGGCGTGGCCAGCAAATGAAGGCGCTGCTCATTTTGTTCTTCATACTACTGTAAATGTTAACAAAGGATGAATCTACTTGCTGCAAGCATTTCAAATACATCAAGTGATATCCTTAACTAAAGAATTGTTCACATAAAAATGGAAAGAGTGGATTTTGGGGAAATCAGAATGTTAAATAATTTGGATTTGGTATGTAGCTTAGTTCTGTACGTAAAATTTCAAATAGATGTAACATTTCTTTATATTTCATAACACAACTTAATGTGATATATTTCCTATTTGCATTAAGAGGAGACTGATTAAGCAGCAGATCAAATATTTATGTTTTTCCCATTGCTAACAGTAACAGCCTTATCTGTATAAAAAGATATGTATTAACCTTATCAAAAGTTCAGATATTCCTTTAAGAGCAGTTTCAGGTCAATTGATATGTAAACTCCTGTTAATTCCAGCAGAAATGGAATAAATATTAGGCATATGTAGCAGTTATCTTTCCCCATTTAAGGATTGCTCCTGGGCAAATAAATATCTTCCCATAGATTTTTACGAAGGAAACAGTTTGTGGAAGAAGACTGCCTTTTTGAATAGTAACTACCTGGTGTTCCATTCAGCCATGTCCATTTGTATACCATGTGACCCTGTAGGGAGGTTTCTTGTATTAAGTAGACATCCCTCACTCTATGACTGCCTCTGAGTAATCTTACAGAAAACGCCAGATACTTAATTAAGTAAATAGGATCCAATGCCATGGCGTATAGCTAATACTATGGAGTCCTTAGTGTTATCTGAGCTTAGTTGTTTGCTTGGATATGTTTTGTTACCCAACATCATCAGTGCTAGAAGGAGGTGGGGTTACTCTGCTTATATACACTGGCTTGCCCTGTCAGTGTTGGTGGGTGTGTTGTTTTCTCTTGATAGTTCCTTAATTAGGCTGAGAGAGAGAAAAAATACTGTAGAAAAACATGGCAAACCTAGATGTCGCATATTTCTGCACCATTTGGTTACGTTTAAATGGACATGTTTTTATCGTTCAGACAGAATGAAAGGTTTGATGGATGTCAGATTGCCTAACTGGAAGCTAAGAAGGCAAGTAACATCAAGAAGAATTAATTTCAGTATAGACTATTATCTGGCTGCACAATTTCTTAGGATTTTCCATTTTTTTTCCAGTGTTGTTATAGTGTTAGTAGATAAGATTATAATTAACATAATTATGAGAAGATGGTTTTTTTTAACTTTGGCATCAAGTCTTGTTTGCCTTGACATATAATTTGTATTCTATTGCTGTGTTGCTATAGCACAGCACGCATGGGGGGCACCATGTTGCAAAGGCTGCTTTAAGACATGTCCTAGATACCAAAAAGAAATAATAAAAAGGTTGCATGAAACATTAGAATAAGTTGCTTAATTTGACATTTTAGTCAGTCTGCTAATGTTTTTTTCTCTGGGATTCAGTATCAGGGGAAGATTAAATGAATCAGAGATCTAATGAATGCAGTTAAATCAATAACTTAATCATTTCAAGCTAATTCTTGATTGCTGTTCCAATATATTTTGGTTATCTGTTCATTTAAGCAGACTTTTTATAGCATCTCTGGTTTATGAAATAAGTAAAAAAAATGACAAAGGAATTAGCATTAATCATTTATGTGCTGTACAGTTACAATCAAGGGATTTCTTATTTTGTATAATGTGTTAGTCTACTCACCCGGGTAATTAATTATGATCAAAATAGTATTCAGTTTTTAGAGTAATAATTGAGTAATAGCTGTGGTATAAGACAATAATAGAAGCTTCCTTGTTTTTTAATTTTTTTCTCCCTGTGTTGACTGTATGGTGTCTTATCCTGGACTGCAGTTCATAACTTAGCCATGGGATATAGTGCAAGAGTCTATAATGTATTGTAGCCATTTTAGACCTGAGTTAAAGCAGATCTGGATATGGAGACAGAACCACAGCATACCATAGCCTCTTAGAATAAGTTGCTTTGAGTTTCACAGTGGAGGAAAGCTTTATGTGTACTGCTTAAAAACCAAAACCTTCAATAACTTGAATGTTCTTTTTTCATAACCAGAGAGATTTTGAGAAAATTTATTTTCCTCTTGATGAACAAAAGTTGCTTAATGCTGCATAATGAGAGCCGCTTGGAAACAAAAGCCCAACAATTTTAAAAACTGTGACCCTACAAACAAAATGTGTACCTGCGGTTATATTCAGTAACGGCTTTGTTTCAGTCAGACCAGGAAACAGAATCCAACAAGTTTGAGTAGAACTTTATTAATAATGACTGTAATAGTTTAATCTGAGTATAATTACATATATCTGCATGTAATAGTCATTCCTCATGCAATGGATGGCTCTATCAGTGGTGGGATTCAAATTTTTTTACTACCGGTTCTGTGGGCATAGGTTGATGGGCATGGGTTGGTGGGTGTGGCAGGGGAAGGATACTATAAAATCTCCATTCCCTCCCCACCCCACTAACCTGCTTTCCAGCTCCGTTCTCCTGTGCAGGGCAACAAAAGAAGACCCAGCCAATCAGCTGGGACTCAGGAGGCAGAGAATAGATGGGGGCGGGGCCAGTCAGAGGTGGTATTTTCCAGTTCTGCACTATTCAAAATTTCCGCTGCCGGTTCTCCAGAACTGGTCAGAACCGCATACCCCCTTTGGGCTATATAAATTTAATTAAATAAAAATAAGTGTTGAAGGCCTGACTAACTTTTCCCTTCCCTCCCTTTCGGTGAGGATGAAGCCAGTATGTTTCCAGAGTTTAAAAACTGCTTGTATTTATGCAACCATTGTCTCTGCTTAGTTTCTCCAAGTTCATGATACCACTGCAAGAAATGCAGTATCTGTGGTTTTCCATTCTTTCCATTTTTGCCTTATTTTTTTCTTCTCCCTGCCCTTTTTATCCAACTGTCTCCACCACTCTCTTC